ATAACGATTACAACTAAACTGTACTGTACCATTTTCGGCATAACATTCAAGTAATTTTAATTAGTTAATTAATTTTTTCCTAAATTTAACTGGTTAGATGAATGAAATAGTGAATAGAACGAAAATTTATTTTGTTTTTTGATGTCAAAAAAAAAGAAAGGACATTCAAATTAAAAGTTAAAAGAATTATAAAAAAAAAAAATTGAAGAAAAAGAAAAAAAGACGAAGAATTGTAAAAATAAATTAATGCATAAAGTTAAGCTTCAAAATATTATCACAAAATGAATTCCAAATGATATCTAATCAATTTGGAGAATAAAAGTATTAAAAGAAGAATGTTATTCTATTATTTACATGTTTTACATATATCTCTTAATGATTGATTTTATTTTATAAGAATTTAGTATCTTTATTAGTACACATTTGATAATTTTTATTGATTATATTATTAAAAATTATCAAATACATTCTTTGCTGCTAACGTAAATTGCTAAACAATTGAGCAGCATACATATAATTCTATAGGCGTATTGATAAGTACCCTACTTATATAGAAAAGAATTTGAATAATTTTTAAATTTTCATTATAATTCAATTTAGTAATTACTAATTAGTATATCACAACATTTCCACTTTTAAACCTTCATATTGCTTTTTTTTTTCCATCATGAAATTTCCAGGATTTATTCGTTACATCTGATCATTCATAGCAATCGAACATATTATCAGCTTAATTCATCAATTTATATCTACAGCTAAACTTCTAATCAATTATAATTTCTTCAACTGATCTTATGCCAACTTGAAACTTCACAGTTCTGGTACCTATCATTCCAATAGCTAAAACAGAACTTATAAATGATTCTAGAGATATTTTGATTTCAATTCAAGTAGTATACAGAATAGATTAGTTTCCCTGTTTCATTTTGCCGCAATTTTTGTCAAAATGAGCAAAACATCAAGGTGACCCTGATACCAATTTTATGCATTAAGTAAGCAATATTACCTAATTTCGGTCACTGATTAATTTATGATGAAATATAATCCAAATCATTAATGAAATACAATTTTTGAACTATACAGAGGAAAGAAAAAAAACATGTAACAGCTTCCAACAAATTTGACACTTTTAAGAAATATGTGATCGAAAAATCACTTCATAAAATACCTGAAAAAAAATCTAAACAATTAAAACATATCAAAATACAAATAATGCCATCTCAGGCAATTAATAACTTTCACAATGAAAACTTTGATGCATGCATAGGATAAAAGTAGCGTTTGGCATATGATATGTTGGTTCATGTTTACACAGTAATTTAAGAACTGGTCATGCAGGGATATCATTTAATGAGCCTTATTCAAGAAGTTGTAAATACAGACTGGAACTATTTATCGCTTTCTTAGTTTTCAGAACATTTCTATTTCTGCTTTGAAATTCATCCAGACCTCGAATTCGAAAATGATTTCTCCTTCAGAAAAAGCATGCAAAAGAAGCGAGTGGTATCAATACCATTTTACCATTTTCACAACACTGTATATTTCTTAAAACTTAAAAACATAACCACTTAAATAATCACTATTAATGAGAAGGACAAGTATACATATAACGAAGAGATCGAAATACAAATAAACAGAAAACTTTTTGTACAACAAAAAAGATGAAGAGAAAGAAAGGAACGAAGAAAAATTTCATAAATCTGATAAACAAACAATATCGCCGGAAAATTAATAAAACACGGAGGATGGGGGGATCATTTAAAAATAAATAGAATCTAGTCATTCTACTTCAGTGGTTCCGAATGAGCTAAAACTATCAGAACATGTTATCGCTTAATTAATTAATTCAAATGTATCATTAATTGTACGAATTCAAACTAGTTAGAAAAGAATATACATATTCTTCGCTTTACTGCAAAACAATATATCATTATTGCAAAGCGATATACCTTATATAAATTTAAACCATTTAGGAAAAAATATGTTTAACCTCTACTGCAACCATGCTTTACTTTACTTATGTGTAACAAGGATTTATTGCTATAAAAGTCCGATGTTTTTTTTTTTACTTCCAACGCCGTACCACATACAATTTTGTATCCTCATAAAACTAATCTATCAAAAAAAAAAAAAAAAAAAAACAAAGAAAAAAATGAACAGTGAAAGAGCAAAAACCGACGAAAGGGTTGTGGAAGAATGCAGCAAAATCGATATTTCTTATGAAACACGGAAAACAAAGTCTACGATTTGCATACAGAAGGAGTTATTTGTATTTGCATACAAATAACGATTATTCTCAACTGCAGGATAAAGTAATAACTCCTCTGCTATTTGCACAAGTTTTATTAAGCATGTAAATGCATTTCAATGAGAATCAATGAAGTGGAAGAAATGGAAAGTTACCTTGAGGCAATTTTACCACTTTATTAAAAACTCTTCTGTAGATAATTTCTAAAATGGTATCGGAAATTCATTTGAAATAAGCATTAGAAAGTATAAAAATTGCTCCTGTAGAATGGAAAAAATACTAAAGTCCAACCATATCCATAAATTTAAATGTTAAAAGTTCATAGCAGTTTGACAACGACGATAGAAGATCAAATTATATTCATCAAAGCTACGTCCGCGTTGAGATTCGTTCATATTGCAAGATTCGGTACTGTAGCCAATGCGAAATCGATATGCGCTATGCATATAGTTGCCAACTGGTAGTTCATAGATTCCTTCCACTATCTGCAACGTAAAGGATCATATATAACCGAAATTATGAAAGGTGCAATACGGTATGACTATTTGCCTGTACACAACAATAAAAGTCCAAGAGATAACCATCATTTTATATATAAATTGGACAAGTGAGATCAAGAAAAAGTTGACATCTATAAGAAATATGAAATTTCTTATGAAAGGTACCTTTTGAACGACTGGTTGCTTCCCACGATCTGTCCTTATAGCATGTTCATCATTACATGGTTTTTGATCAAAATCTCGCAAACTACCGCAATTATCGATATAATTACTACTATCCCCAACGCTAAAATTTTAAACTGAACAGTTGAAACATAAAGTGAATTGTAAAATAACATAAATTCAAATCATTCTATTTAGAAACAAAAAAAGATGACTGGTTGAGGCCGTCATTCAACCTGTCTATCTGTCAGTAAATCTAAAAAGAATAAGGATTAGATAGCCGTTTTCGAGTATGAAAAAATCAAATCCCTTATAGATAATCTGATTAAAATTTAAATCCTTTTTCAGGAATACTTCGCTAAATACCTTACTATACTCGTCGCTTTAGACAAAGTAGGAAAAGATCCTTTTCAATTCACCCAACCACAATCCATTATTCTTCCGCAAAAAGTCATGAACAGCACTAACAATAGTCCAACATAGATTACTTTGATAAAATGAAACACTCAACCTAATCCTTTAGAGGCAATTTTTTTGATAGTACAAGTGCTCAAATAACGAAACCAAAGTGCCTAGCATAAAGTATTATCGAAAAACACTGAAAACTTTCAGCTGTTGTTTTAGAATTATGTACTGAGGAGGAAAAAATTGATAATTCACAGAGTAAAAACATACTCGAATTTAACTTCCAGTGGGACAGTTGGCATAGTCGGCGAAATGGGTATATAAAGGGTGTAGAGACCACGACGTGATTTACAACTATCACTTATACAATATCGACTATCGAGCGTTACATTGAAATCCAGTATTTCAATGGTAACATCTGATGCGAATGATGAAAAAACGGCTCGTTTGTCGTGAGGTAATGGCCTGTTCTCCGTACTGCCTTTGATTTTTAATGATTGTTGTTGCTGCGAAAGAGTCAAAACTGTTTGCTGATTCTAAATTAATTATAAATGTTGCAACCCTTTTTATCAAAAAGTAAACGCCAACAATTTTTAGGATTTTTAAAAGAGAGAAATCCAATAGAAACCTGTTCGAAAACTTAGTTGCTAAGCAGATATTTTTGTTGAACTTGGTTAAAAAGCCTATTTGGTCGTGCAGTTAAATCCCATGCTAAACCCTGGTCCCTGGACACTAAAAATCAAACACAACATAGCACGAATGATGGTTTACCAGATATGAAAAATTACAACTACCTTCTACCGAATCATACTTCCTTTTTCCAGAGCTTCGCATTTTTCTGGGATAATAAAAAAGCGTACTAAACAGAAGTTCAAAAGACCCAGTAAAAGAGCTCAATTAAAATTTCGAAATCAGAGCGAAAGAGCTTTAAAAGATTTCGAAACCTTTTCTCGAAATGCAGAATTAATTTAAGAAGAAATCAAGACTTACTATCTTATCACCAGAGTTATCATTTGGTACGCTATATTCATCACGCTCCATGCAACAAAACATATGACAATACATATGATCACATGAAACGCTTAAAGGTGGCGCATGCGGTTGGATTGGTGGCTTCCAAACATTATCCTTCACTTGCACAATTTGACCAATTTTACCACCTTGTTCCACCACTGGTCTATTAGTAGTAGTACTTTCAAAGATGTAAGGCCGTTTCTGATATCCAAATGTTCGAGTATGCCAGTCCAGCACATATAATGTTGACATAGCTATTAAACTGTAAAGAAAAAGAAAATGATCAATTTCCAAATTCCCATGTTAATCTTGAATTTTACGCTTATTGAACTCATAACAGCAACAAGTTCATATCTTCGATATAATCCAATTCTTCGTTCAGTGAATTCATATTTGGATAAAGCATGTTTTATGTGTTACCTACAACTGAGATAATTTCAGAAAAATTTAGGATTTCGCAAAGAAAGCAAAATAATTTGATTAACTTCTGTCACTTAAGATTTGAACATCGCCTCATCTAACCTGATTTCATTTACAAAAATACGACATCAAAAAAATTACCAAACAGCCATTACTCCAACAAGAATGACAATTGTCCCTTGCGTTACTTTTGAACTACATAATGGAGGTTCCGCACGATGACAAGATGAATTTCTGCAGTGCCAGTGTTTTTCACGGCTTCTGCTCCGCTCCTTATTACTCCTGTCAAGTAATGCTGGGAATTAAAAAGATTTTCGCAAGTTTTAAAGGAAAGATTCGAAATTTCAGGAAGGCATTTGAATACTAAGAAGCAACATCTAAATAACGATTTGGCATAATTGTTGCAATTTTTGTCGTTTCTGGAATTTTCTGGAACTTTCCAAAACTCATATTTCCTTTAAAAAGGAAAAAAAATCAGAATTACTGGTAAGAAGCACTTGCCTACGATAACATTTGTCGCGTGAAACACAAGATGGAGAAATCGAAGCAAGTGATGTATGCGATGACATGAAGCTTGCTTTATCAGAGAATCCAAGATCACTTAGGCCACTTGCTAAACTACCGATATCCTTATTTTTCCGCTGATGTAATTTGGCTAGTTTGTGAGATAACTTTTCAACAGCTTCAATCTTATGCTCCAAATTTCCCGTAAGGCGACACAGTTCGGTTGCTGCTGCAACTGTTTCATAGAATATCCGTGAGTCATCAACCTGAAAATTGAACCAAATCTAATAGAAAAAAACAGCCTAAAATTGAAACATTGCTTATTAACTATCATGTTATTTAGTAGATTAGTTATCCACTGAATTTATTTTTTGTACACTGCTAAAGATACATTAACAACTATACTATAGAATCTAGATTATTTTCACAACTGATTAAATGACCGCTTCCATTTTAGAAAATTTTTGGAAAGCTAGAACGAAAGAAATCAGATAATTAGTAAATTTTCATGTTCCACGAAATTTATGCCTTTCCAAGAATTATGTGTACCTGTAAGAAATCGCCATTGTCGGTCACGGCATCGGGCAAAATCTCGGCCAGTTCTTGAGCAATAACACCAACTCTGTGACGATTTTCTTCCGATAGACCCCATTTTAAAGCTATTTCTGGTTTGTACGAATAGCCAACAACACGAATTTGGGCAAGATGAGATAAGGCGCTTTTAGTGTCCACCTGTAAACTTTTATTTAAGAGTCTTTAATTTTATCATAAAAATTTTTTTAAATGGTAGATTGAAAGTAGTAGAGTTGTTCTGAAAAATATCGAAAATGAACCATTTGCGAGGTACCACATGCAACCAAACTGATCACGATGATAACTTTGATAAAGGGTAAGGAGAAAAAAAAAAGAGCAATAAATGAACCTCATGGATTTGTTCTTTCATTCGACGATCGGATGGACGATGCACAACTCCAGAGCAATAGATGTCACCACCAACAGTCAAGGGCGCAACAGCTCGATCAGTACCAATTGCCACCGAACCACTATTATAATATAGAGTGGAACCGTTCTTCTGCCATGTAACGTCCGAATCTGGTGGCTCAAACTGACCCGGATTTGAAGCCTGCAATAATAATAACAATATTAAACTAATGGATATTAAATCAATCCCGAAACCGCATGTTTTTTCATATGTTTGAAGTAAGAAAAATCGATTTCTAGTATTGATTCCCTTGCTTGCCGTGGTTCTCCAACACAAGCCTCATTCTCTTCTTTGTGATCGATTGTCAAGTTAATGAAAAGATATCCAAATTTTTTGAAACAGTAGAAAGTAGCGACAAAGCTTACTCGAACAATTACTTTCTCGGATTGATAAGCCTGAACAATGGCATCATGCCCATCAGCAGTACATGCAATCAAACGTACAACAAGTAGGAAATATTTCTGATCCGGATTTGGACGACCGTTTTTTCTCTGATTATTCATCGTTGTTTCCGAGAAATGCAGCCTTGGTACAGTTACTTTTGTCATCCGTCGTTCATGAATTTCAAGTCTGAAGTGAGAAATGAGGGTCGAGCATTTGTTACTTTTTACTTGGAATTTCATTAAGCTATGAAACTATACGGAATACAAGGGAAAATATTGAAAATTTAAGCATATAATCATTTTAGAAATAGAACTTTTATTCACCAATCGATATAATTTAATGACTGTTTTAACTTTATCATTGGTTTGTAAAAGACAACAATAAAAAACTCACGATACAGGATCATGTGGCACTGGCCTCCTATCCGTTGTAGACTGCTTGATTTGTATCTCTGACGTTGGCATTTCACTTTTTACACCACAAAATGCTAACTTGAATTCTTTCACCATTTTCAATTCGTTACCTATTTTGACGAAATTTGGCGGATGATTGTCGATTGCTTCGATATGTACAGAAATCTGCAAAAAAAAAGAGAAAAAATCACTTTCCTCGCAAACTTATCGAACTATTCGGAAGAACTTTTAGCAATCTAATTGTATAAACAGTCATCCAAAATAAAAATGAAGTGACCCCATAGAGAACAGTTATGGAAATAACACAGAGATATGCAGCACGAAGCAGATGAAGTGGGCAAAGAATGCCGTTGGAAAAAAGGAAAATTATATAATAATTACATGCATGAGAAATGATAGCGATATATAGATTAATTATAGAAAAGCACAAGCTGAATAAAAACGGAGAAAAGATATGTATATAAACAATAAAAGATAATAAAAAAAGGAAAATTGTTCCTAAAAGTGAAAAATAAAGTGAATTAAAATTCCTTGTAAAATGTAACTTCAATAAATAACCAGAACTTCGTTCGTTATCATATTGAAGCAAATAGTACAGTAAAATTCAACCTGAAAATGATTTTTCTTCTGATTTACAAAGCAATTATCCATAGTACTGTAATTGAATCCTTTATCTGCCACAACATGCATTTCCAGTTGATGCAACGGTCTTTGGTTGATATCATACAAGGTAGCCCAATGCTCTTCGTTGAATGCAGTAAATTTGATCGCTTGCTGGTGAAAACTGTCGTCAAAATCTTCCACTGTAGTTACCGGTGATGATATCACTGTAAGCTGACTGGGTAACGAGAATACCTGGAAAAATCGGAATGAATGGTTTTATATATATCAGACGTACATACATTAAAAAGATTTCTCATTTACAATAAAAACCTCAAATATCTTATGAAAATGCAGTTATGCGGTCTTAATAATATAATCCATCTCCACCATTTAATGATTTATACCGTGCAAGAAAAAATACTTCCAAAATGATAAAAGATGAGCTGTAACTCACAACGTAATACTGATGTCATAACTACATTATACTATATGATTACAATAGCCAAGAGTAAATAGAATGGGTGATAAGCGTGACATAAACTGATTTCCTATGTATGTTTGACAGGTATCCATTAAGTCACTACATGATTCCAATCTATTTCGATGCAAGCTTAAAAACAGGGATTTCCTCCAATTTTATAGAGTTCACGGAAATTTTACAAAAGTTTAGCAATAGAAAAACCGTTTTAACTCGGCTTTTCCTCAAAACTTATACAGATCACCAAAGAATTAAGTAATAAATCTACCTTCTGAGGCTCACTTTTCACATTAACTGGTACCGAATTATGAGGCTGCTGTTGCTGTTGCTGTGATGGTGGTGGTGGTGGTGGTGGCGGTGGTTGTTGCTCTGATCGCACACGTTTACGACTTACTTGGCCATCACTTTGGGAGCCTGAACCATCACCATCACTAGCTGTGGAACTGATAACATTACTATAGGGATCCATTTGATAATCGTTATTCTGGATCAAATAACTGTTATTAACAGGTCGCAAGTTGACCGTTGGCGGTGAAACCTGTAAGATTTTAGATAAATATGGTAAACAGATTTTGGAATTCATAAGTTGTCCTAAAGATTCACAAA